AAGAGGGATGTAAAGGAACTGCCCTGCTCAGGGCGGGCTGGGGCAGGGGGGAAACAAAGGTTCTGAGAGCAGGCACCGGTCTGCTTGCTGGGCACCCTGTTTGGCTCAGTGGTAGCAGGGTGACAACCCCAATACCTCTTACTTTCTAGAGGACTTTGCAAAATGCTCTGGACATGCACCCGCGCCTGACAAAACACCACTGGGTGAGTGAGGAAGCTGCTGCTAACCCTATACATGCCTAGACAAGTACACACATGCCTGCGTCAGGAACCGGGGATCCGGGCGCCCAGGGCTCCCCCTGCCACACGCCATGGACACCTCATGGCACGCGACCATCCCTCTACCCTTGCAACCTTCTCTTAAATTCCACAGACGCGAGAACCCAAGCTTCACGGGTTACTTGTTCGCTGTGTGACTCAGTGCACTGCTTAGCTGACTTTCCCACCCTCATCCTGTGTGCATCCCCTTCTCTGTGCGTGTTCTCACAGGGGCTGCACAAGCCGAGTGTCAAAGGACCCCGTGAGCTACGTAAAGCACCATGAACAGACTGGGTCCCCTAGCACGCACTTACGGACAGTCACACACACGAACAGGAAAAGAGCAAACACACACCAGCTTTCAGAGAGGACACGGCTCCAGCCAGGAAGACAGACAGTCTTACTCCCTGCGCACGGTTCAGCTCCTCGCACATGTTCCCAGCACTGAGGCGGCCAGCGTCCCCTGTTACCCGTGTGACTGCCCTCTGTGTGTGATGAAAGCAAGCTTTGTATTTTTCTTAGTTACAAGTAATCCTGCTTCCCTTCATTTTTCTTTTTTTACAGAACTGTTGCAGATTAAGAGTTCTTGTATTCTTTACCATAGATAGCAGACTTCTATGTCTGTAAATGAGTATGTGCGTATACACAATATGGGATATAATCTTTACATATATAATCCAATCACCTGGATTTTTAATAAAAATGTAAACCTGTTTACCATTTTAAAGCTGTATTGGAGCTGTTGGGACAAGAAAAATAATGCTGGGCATTTTAAAAATTCCCCACGAGCACCAGTGAGCAGGGACACCAGGTGAAGACAAGGGTCTGGAACCAAAGCCACAGCTAAGTCCCAGATGAGCTGCTCCTCAGCAGCGGGAGTGGAGTGAGACCCTGGGGGGACCCTGCCCCTCCCCTCCCTGCCTCACAGCATCTCCGCAACCAACCCAATCAACCAGGACAGCCAAGAGGCCTCTGAAATCGCATCTGTTTTCAGTCCCACCGCTGGTAAAAACCCCCATCCTCCTTGGGACTCTCTCCACAGGGGTCTGGTGAGGAGAACACGAGCTGCCCAGTTACAGTCCTTCCAGGGAACCAATGTCAGTAACAGATGGTACAGGCTGGAGAAGCTCCAACCCTGGGGAAGGTACCTGGTCTGCTGGGGTCTGCCAGACTGGCAAGCATGGGGCCTAAGCGAGTGGACACAACAAGGCATGCTCCTGCTGGGGTCTGCTTTTACCTCGCGCTTTCCCTCAGGCCCCCTCCTCCCAGAAAAGCGCCTTTCTCACAGCAAAGACCACTGGATGGGTGTCAAGAGCCGATCCCACTTTAGCTCTGCCAATGACACGGTGGGGATGGGATCATGGACTCGATTTCCACGAAGACAGAGAACATCCCACATGGTGCCACACTCCATCCTGGCAATAGGCATGTAAGACGTCCCCTCATATTTATGAAAGAGAGAAGTTATGTTCTGCTGTATGTTCATAAGAACTTCTTCAAGGTCATGCAGCTACCAAATGAAAGAGCCCCGAACTCCAGCTTGCTCTGCTGTCCACACTGTACAATGAGGCAGGAGACAGCATGGCCTCTAAGTCCCCTTCTCTTTCTGTTTGTCTGCTTAGTTTTACTAGGACTGGAGAGAGGAAGGCAGGTGAGGGTCAAGGGACAGATGGGCCCATGGTAGCATGACAGCAGGCCGAGGGGGAGGCCATGCAGCTCGGGCTATAATCTAGTAGTAAGAATTTTATTAACCTACTAATAACTGAAAATTCACTTTTTAAAAATTGTGTTGTTCATACTCAGTTGTTCATACTCAATGCAATCAGCTAACATCCCCAATGGTGAAAAGCTGAGAGCTTTCTCCCTAAGGTCAGGAACAAGACAAGGATGTCCACTCTCACCACTTTTATCCAACACAGGACTGGAAGTCCTAGCCACAGCAATCAGGCAAGGAAAAGAAATAAAAGGCATCCAAACTGAAAGGAAGAAGTAAAACTGCCACTATCTTCAAATGACATGATACTATACATAGAAAACCCTTAAAACTCTACCAAAAAATGGTGAGAACTAATAAATGAATTCAATAAAGTTGCAGGATACATCAATACATAAAATCTGTCGCATTTCTTTTTTAAGGTTTATTATTATTATTATTATTAAAGATTTTCTTTATTTGTCAGAGAGACAGAGCACAAGCAGGGGATGGCAGCAGAGGGAGAAGCAGACTCCCCGCTGAGCAGGGACCCTGATGTGGGACTTGATCCCAGGACCCTGAGATCAGGACCCAAGCCGAAGGCAGATGCTTAACCAACTGAGCCACCCAGGTGTCCCAATGTTGCATTTCTGTACACTAATAAGGAACTATCTGAGCAATTAAGACAACAATCTCATTTACAATTGCATCAAAAAGAATAAGATAGGTAGGAATAAATTTAACCAGGGACGTGAAAGACCTGCACTCTGAAAATTATAAAACACTGATGAAAGAAAGTGAAGATGACACAAAACACAAATGAAAGATATTCCATGCTCATGGGTTGGAAGAACAAATATTGTTAAAATGTCCATACTATCCAAAGCAATCTACAGCTTCAATGTGATCTCTATAAAAATTCCTACGGCACTTTTCATAGAAATAGAACAAACAACCCTAAAATGTGTATGGAACCACAAAAGGCTCTGAATAGCCAGAGCAGACCTGAGAAAGAACAGAGCTGGAGGCGTCAGCTCCCCGATTTCAAACTATATTACAAAGCTACTGTAATCAAAACAGTATAGCATTAGCATAAACACAGACACGAAAATCAATGGAACAGAAAAGAGAGCTCAAAAATAAACCCATGCATATATGGTCAACTAATTTCCCACACTTATTTAGGAGGGCCATCATCAGGCAAAAGATAAGTGTTGGCCAGGATGCGGAGAAAGGGGAACCCTCTCGCACTGCTGGTAGGAATGCAAGCTGGCGCAGCTACTCCGGAAAATAGTATGGAGGCTCCTCAAAAAACTAAAAATGGAGCTACCCTACACTCCAGCAATCCAACTTCTGGGGATATATCTGAAGGAAGTTAAATCACTATCTTGTGAGGTATGTGCAGCCCATGTTTGAGGCAGCATTACTCACAAAAGAGTCCATCAACTGATGAATACATTAAAAAGATGTGACATATCTACACAACGCAGTATTATTCAGGCATAAGAAAAAGAAAGTGAAATCTTGCCATTTGTGGTAACGTGGATGGACCTTGAGGGCATTATGCCAAGTGAAATAAGTCAGAGAAAGAAAGACAAATACCATACGGGCTGGTGGTCACTGGAGATAAGGGGTGACTAAAATGGGTGAAGGACTCAGAAGGTACAGACGTCCAGTGATAACATTAATAAGCCACGGGATGTGATGTACGTCGTGGAGACCACGGTTAATAATACTGGGTTGCATACCTGAAAGCTGCTAAGAGCATAAATCTTAAAAGTTCTCATCACAAGAAAAAACAAGTCTGTAACTATGGGTGCTGACAGATACTAACTAGACTTGCTGCGGTGATCATTTCACAATATATACAAATATTGAATCATTATGTTGAGCACCTGAAACTTATATAATGTGTGTCAATTATACCTCAATAAAAAAAGAATTAGCATCAACCTAGTAATAACCCAAAAAATCACTTTTTAAAATTGTTTCTTGCCAAAAGGAGGAAAAAATCCACCTCTAAAAATAACTTTCTTGACTATAACGTAATGAAACTGCTCACAAACACACACACAGCCTGCACTGTATTTAATTGGGCTGCTACGAGAATTAGTTCATGGAGTAAACATGGTACGGAAAGAGTTCTGAGATTAGATTAAAAGTTGTTCATAAATGAAATTTATTAGTTTTTTTTTTTTTTCACTAAAAAGACCAGTGAAAACTAATTCAATTAACTAGAATCTGTAGATAAAACTCATCATTATCCAATGGCATTTATAAAGCAAAGTCTTCAGTTTCCACCAACAACTGACCTGACCTCGGGTTTTCCTCTACGAAACAGCTATGTGACCCATCAGGGTGTGGCCAAAGAGGAGAGGAACGAGGCTCAGCTGCCAACGGCTCGATCGTGAAATTAAAGGAATAAAACGCCCGTGAGTGGCAACATCTGAATAAAAGCAACACGGCTCATGATCTCCATTTACTAAACACTCCGTAAGCAAGGCACTGGGAGAGGACACGGGGCGGGTGGGATGTGGCCCAGCCCCTAAGAGCAGTCACCGACGTCTGGGAGGCCAGGCCCACGGACAAAACAGGCAAGACAGGATGTGTATGGGCCAAAATCATGAACACCAGAGAAAGGCGTCCTGTTTTCCTAAAGTTAGCAAGGCTTATAAGGGATCACACCGACTCTTGTCCTCATGTGACCACAATACTGAGACAGGATTAAGAACGACACATTTCTCAGCGCTGGAATGAGGCAGCTCTTGTGAGCATGTGACCCATCTGAGACCGAGGTCTAGAGGGCCCACTTCCACGGAACGCGGGACGCCATCTCTACACGGCTCTGCTTGAACTTCACTAACCTGGCAGGACCCTGGGCTCCGCTGTGAGAGATGAAGCTACACCACAGCATCATAAAAACACCTTGATTAAAGATGCCTTCTTACCTTTTCTGTGAAACACCAACCAAAACTTAAAAAAAACCAACAGAAGAAATGGCTGGGCAGGCAGGGGGTCTCCAGAACTGTGACAATCAGTCAGGCCAGTACCTGTAAGTCTACCAGCTGCACAGTTGACTTTCCTTGGAGGCACAAGGCCTGAGCAATAAAAGCATGCAGATCCTCCAGGCAAAGAGTGTCCACCTGAAAGGGAGAGAGAAGCAGCATCAGCTCTGGGAAAAATCCGACACTCTGCACGTGGATTCAATGACTAAAGACAGGCGTCCACTGGGGGCGGTAGACGAGGCAGAGGCGGAGGTCAGTGGGGCCTCTTTGTCCAGAGCCCACAGTCCATGATGCCCAGGGCCAAGCTGGACAGGGCCCTGGTCACTCTGCAGCAAGGGGGGAAGCTCTAGAATGCTTGGGAGGGGCCATGAGCCACAACCAGGCCTGAGTCTTAGAGCAACACAGGTGACTGTTTTGGGCACCAATTCCCACAGCTGGTAACTTAGGGGTTTGCAGCGTGAGCTGGGGTGATCCAGGCTGGGATAAACTTCCACCTTTGCCAGCCCTGATGAAACCTGATACTCATATCTCAGGACCCCCACATTTGAGACCCTCCGATCTTCTGTGGAATCAAGGGGTCCAACCAAAATGTGAGCAAGAACAAGGAGGGCAGGGATTTGGAGAGACAGATGGGGAAACTCTGGGTCTCGTGAAAATGATGGGAATGAGGACAGGGCCTGGGAGCACCATGGACAGCGGGCTGCTCTAGGGGACCACCTCTCCCAGGTTAGGGGGTGGTGACTTTTCCAGCTCAGCCACCAAATTCTGCCAGCCAGAGAAAAGCACTGCAGTTCCCTTGCTCATTGTTTCCACCGCCATCATAAGAATATGAGAACTTCTTTCTATAGAGGAATACGTTCTGTGGCAAGTGAAGGCTTGAAGGGAAAAAATCAGGATGACAACCACAAACCTGTGAGTAAGAATTTTGATTCTTCCTCCATGATAAAAGTGGCTAATGTTTACTCCTAATAAAAATGACCCCACCATAAACCAGAAAGACAGTTCACTGGCTCCTGCTCTCCATGGCCAGGACCCGCTGACCTCTCCTGGAAAATCAAGTACTTCCGGCGTGCGTCACCTCCACCCCGCGGAAGGCACCAACCCCGTCACTACCCTGCCCTGCCCCATTCTGAAGTACTTACTGCCTCTGTATAAACGACAGCTGTAACTATTTCAGCGAATACCAAAAAAGTCCACAGATGTGTAGTACTCATGACCAAGAAAAAAGACCCCAGTCTACAGAAGCAAGACCAAGCAGAGAACACATTTTTTTATTCCATAAACCCCTCCAAATCTCTCTCCATTTAGACTTGGTTTGTTGCCACGTAACTCTACTTCTTGCCATTAGCAACTTCTGAAGAAGGCTGATTTTAAAACACCAACTTATTGAAAAAAGAACTATCTCACGTACCGTTGCTTTCACAGGCAACCCACCTCCGCAGTTAACAGATCTAAACCACCACAGAGGGTGCTTTTTTACGGTTTCACAGAACCGTATTTAAAGCATTTGCTCAACTAGAGATTATAAAAACTATGTACGCTTGCTATGACGTAAACTTACCCTTCCAGAGAATGTTCTCAGATAAGCCTTCAGTAAAAAGTGTTGTTGTTGTTGACTTGGAGGTTATGAGAGCATTTCGTTTCTCCACAGGTTCTATACCCCACGTTGCACAACAAAACATCTAACTTAAGCTTAACCACAGAAAAGTATAATATTTTTATAAATTTATCTTTTTACTTATGAAACCCTAAGAGAATATTAACCCTGTGAATAATATTGTAGTTCCTTCTTAATCTCAAAGATGCCACTGATGTGTTAATTCACTGTTTTTCGGTTTCAAAAAGCTCCAATTTAAATATGCTCTTTAAGTCAAACCAACATCATATGTCTGCCTCATGCTGACTCACACTAAAGAGATTTTTACTGAAAGGTAATCATTAGTGTTATCAGAAAGAAGGTGAAGGTGGAAATTTTCCTCCTGACGCTTGTCTTGCTTCAGGTGTATAGAGATACTGGAGATGGAAAGCTGCTGTTCTGTGGTCTGGACACGGATTTTCGTAACTGACAGTCACCTGCCCAAGTGGCGAGCATAGAGCTGTGATGAGCGACTGTCAACAGGTTCAACAACCCTCTTACTGGAAAGAGTAATTCAAGATGTGTGTCCAAGGAGTGACTGTTCATATGCACGCAGACAGTATTCAGAAGAAAACACAGTTATTTTTCTGGAGGAGAAACCTCAGCTCTTGGTTATTCACCATTCCCAATCCCCATGATGGCCCTATCTCGGCCACCTGGAGACGAATGAACACTGGACAGAAAACATTAACTGATACATGCTTGCATATTTAGTAAATGGTATCAAAAGAAAGGCAGTTTTACACTTAAAAATCCATCCTCTATTCAATTATATTGCTAAGTCTGGTACCAATAACAAAATGTTCTACTCAAAATAGTAAAGCAAAAACTAAACTTTACACTGGTGCTTGTGAAACCAATAATGAAGCAATAAAATCTCTAAGAGTTATTTAGCTATACCACATTTTTACAAAATGCAAAATGCAGAACTAGCTATAAACTGGCAGAGCCAAAAGAAAAGAACAATTTAGAAAAGGAAAAGACGAATCAGTATAAAGCTCCCTTGAAATGTAATTCCACGATAAGAGTGAGTTTCTTAAAGACAATCAATAATTCATAAAGTGAATTCAGGTCTGAGAAACAGTCACCTAACTCTCTATTCCAGGCAAATGAAAATTTGATGTTTATGCCAAACGAGTCCCAAGATCCACCACATACAGAGGCCACAGCAGAAGGCAAGACAGCTCAAAGGTGTCGAGAGGACAGGAGGTCTAGATGGGCTAAAACAACAGAGACGTGATTGCAAAGGACTTTTTTTTGTCATTGTGACGAATGTGAGACAAAATCATTTCAAAATAATACAGCCAAGGAAAGGAAGTGGGAGGAAAGGGGCTGGAAGAGGGAGTGACTTGGCCCTTCTTTTGCTGAGGTTTCCAAACATGACCCTGCACACGGGCACCTGTTAAAAAGACAAATACTTTCACGGGCCTTTATAATTTTCACACATAACCTACGTGTAAAACTAATGAAACAGAAACTGCCTAACTTGTTGAGGGACACCGATCAGGGCCTGGCACTGCATTCCCCACGTGAGGCCTCCAACCCCTGGTTTAGCCGGGCAAGGAAGACACGGGCCGTGACGATGACGACCCTAGCAGACGTTTTACTGGGCTCCCCTGCGAAGCGTGTTTCGTATTTTCCACAGTGCGACACCCCAATAACCCCAGGAGGTACCCACCACCTTGTCCCAGACTGGGACGTGAAGGGAAGTCTCAGCAAACGTCGCGAGAGCAGTGGCGTCGGAAGGCGTCGGCCAGGAGCACCAGGCCTTCTCACCACGACACGGGGCCCCCGACAGGAGCAACCTCCTGGACAGTAACGGCACCAGGGGAGGCGCTCCACGGTTCAGAGTGCTGGGAGGGCGGAAGCAAGCCCGCACCTGCGTGCAGTACGAGCCTCTATGTCTGACACACACAGGCGCTAACGTGTGCCGACAGGGAGCACAGCTGCAAGGGACTCGTGCTCATGGGGCAGGCACTGGACAGCAGGACACGGGACAGGCCACGGCCAGACCCCAGCGCGCCACACCTCACGAAAGGCAAGGGCAGGAGCGAGGAGCGGAGGTTACCTGCACAAAGAGGTAGATCAAGAGGCAGCACAACGCTTTAAAGGGGTTCTCGACCGCCTGCAGCTCTTCTCTCGAGGAGGAAAGGTCGAAACAGCCTAGGAGGGCATCCAAGCGCCGGCCTTGTATTCCTGGCTCTTGGTTCAGCCACAGTAATTTCAAATTAGGTGTTCCCCCTGGTTAAAAAAAAAAAAGTCCATTTACCATTATTCTTTGTACCAGCAAGTTATAACATGCTTCTTATAGAAATACAATAAAAGAATAAAAGACACTAACCTCTTCTCTTTCTGACACCCTTGGGCTTTAAGGTGTAAAGGACTAGAAAGTAAACATGAACAAACCTACCTGGTTAAAAGAAACAGACCCTCAAAGGCCAGTATATATGTACTTCATTGAGAACATTCTTTTTTTTAAGGACTATGTTTTGAGGGAAACTAGGGCTTTTTTCCTACCTCTGCTGCATCCTGCCATTGTTAAGAATGCTTTTCAGAGTATGTTTAAAAGGTCCTGTCTCTGAGTGTGGGAAAGAACACAGCCACAGTGGAATGCTGGTGCAAAGACCACCAACCTACCCTGTTAGCTTGCTCTCTTATTCCCTTAGACCAGTCTCTTATTCCCCTAGACCAGCAGTTTTTAAACTTCAGTGTAAAAAGAATCCACAGCAGAGACTATAAAAAAATGCATTTTCCTGGGTTCTGCATGCAGAAAGCCTGCTTTACCAGGTATGATGCCCAGGAGTCTGCACTGCACAACCTAGAGGCTTGGATGCAGGGCAACTCTGGGCCCCATGCTTTGGACAGCATGTCCCTAAAAATGTCAAACAAAAGAAATTCCTAAAATGTAATTTCTAGTGTTTCATTTCTATGTTTTATATATACATTTAAATTATTAAAGTTAAAAAAACCAAAAAACAACCCTTCCTCATTTCCTTAAATCACAACACACGGCCCCGGGAGTCTGGAGGAAAAGTGGGGGGTTCTGCCGGCAGCCGCACACACAGGCCAGTCCTGGGACAAGCCAGGTCCCACTACAGGCAGCAGCTGTGATTTCTGCAGGGTCAAGAAGCTACAACACCACGCCTCAAGAGCCAGGATGGCAGAGGTCCGAATGTCCCACATGTCTACTATGGAAACAGAACCCAGTAACCAAATGGTATCGGAATTAAAGGACTCAAAGAAACAGCTCTCCTCTTTTTCCCTTTTTTTTCCCATTTCTCACAGTATCATTTAATATTCTTGACCATGTATCTCCCACCACTGAAAGTGAAACAACACAGCAAAAGTCACTTGCATTTCTGAAACGGCTGAAGTGTTTCCTCCATCAAAAAATTTTTTCATTATTTATTTTGGAGAGGAAAAAAAAATCATTTTTCTCTTGAAAGAAAGAAAATAGTGAAGACAACTGGCAAAAAACAAATCTATGGCACCAGTTAATAAGATGGAGATATCATGCCAAGATCTTCACAAGGGTCAGCCATGACTTCTTAGAAACACATCTTTTCAGAAAAATAATCATCTTGTAGGGTCAGCAAACTGTAGCCCATGGGCCGAATCCAGCTCACTGCCTGTTTCTGTAGGCCTATAAACTAAGAATGGTTTTCACATGTCTAAATGACTGAAAAAAAATCACAAGAAAAATAGTATTTCACAATGTGAGAAAAGTATGTGAAATGCCAGTTTCAACTAAATAAAGTGTCAGCACAACGGCACCATGCTCATTTGTGTGCTGTCTGTGGCCCCCCGCGCAGTCCGAGTGCAGGGCTGGGCCCCTGCAGCAGAGATCACGGTGCCCCCAAAGCCTAAAATACAGACGGCTGCCAAGCCCTGATTGAAGGTAAGTGATGAATGTCCCATTATCACAGTTATTTCAAATATACTCAAGTAGTTGACAAACAGTTTTCCTAACTCTAAAAGCCATGCATTGTAAAAAAACTAAGGAAAAAAAGGCATAAGAAAATGAAAACATTTATAACCCCACCACCCACATATAGCCATATTTTAAAATAGAGCTTCTAGTCCTTTTTTCAACGCATATACAACATCTATGCACACAGCGGAGAGGCCAAGTCCCCGTTAGAGTGTGTGGGGATGGACAGTGGAAAGACTGGACCTTGCATTTCATTTGCTTACACAGAAGAGTTTAATACAAAAAGAATGAGATTCAGGAGATATACTGAGAGTCAAGTACGGTGGCAGCAACAAACATGAGATATCCTGAACAAACAGTGACATGCTGGTGGCCATCACTCCCAGCCTTGGTATCACCTGGGAATTTGTTAGAATTGCAAATTCTTGGAGCGCCTGGGTGGCTCAGTCGTTGGACATCCGACTCTAGGGTTTCAGCCCAGGTTGTGATTTCATGGGGTGTGGGACTGAGCCCTGCACTGAGCCCCACGTTGGGCTCCGTGCTCAGCGGGGGCATCTAGCTGAATATTCTCTCCCTCTACCCCTCCCCCGTTTGTGCTCATTTGTGTGCACTCTCTCTAAAATAATTAAATAAATCTTAGAAAAAGAAAAAAGAATTGCAAATTCTCAGGCCGCACTCCAGGCCTACTAATCGAACTCCAGGGGTCAGGGAGCAGCAATCTGTTGTAACACGCTCTCCAGGTGGTTCGGACACAGGCAGAGTTTGAATACCACTCAATATTCTTCCACAAAACAGCTAAGAAATCATTTACACAGACAAGAAAAGAATAACTTGCCAATAATAAATTGGTTCTTGAGGGCTAATGATAAAATAGATTACAGAAAACCACCGGTTTGAAAAACCACATCCTCAAAAATCTCTAATTTAATCAGAGAATTTTAATCCTAAATTCAATCAATAAATTTAGTCAAGAACTCAGTACTGAGCACCCGTATTACCAGAGGAGACAAGACACGTCTGCAGCCTTCTCCAGAAACTGAGAATTTCTACCTTCAATACAAGACAACATATTCTGGGGTTGCTGTCATTTTCTGTCACACGTAGTACTTGCGAGGCTGCACAGAGACCCTCTGACGATCCTACATAATGGCCTTAATTATAAGGATGGTTCTCTTCCTAAGTACCGTCCACAGAGATTTACTTCTCACTTGATAGATTTCATCATCTTAAGCCAGAAGGTGTGAATTTCTTTGAAGGATCATTTAGATTAGTTCTCTTCCACTGGTAAACTCACTCTAGACAAAGTGGTTTTTATTTTTTTTTTTTAAGATTTTATTTATTTATTTGA